TGACCGTGCACCACGGGGGCCGGGCGGCGCACGGAAGGGAGTGGAGAGAAAAGTGTCGTGCTTTTCACCCTGAGTTCAAAAGCGCCGCATACACGCAAAAACAAATATAGCACCTTAGCTATTTTTGTAGCACTGGTGCAAAAAATTCGTCAGCATAGGCCCAGCTAATTTTTTTAGCTTCAGTGCTAAACTTTTAGTTGTACAGCAAACTGAAGCAATGTACTAGCTGTATCGCCAATACTATTTCGCAGTACAGCTAAATATTTCATTATATAGCTACTTTTATGGCAGGGGTGCCAAATTTGCCTGCTAAATCGATTAGCACGGAACCGATTTTTATTTTCCGTGTACGTGGGAATTTAGGCCTACCGAGGAGGCCGCGTTTCGGCTTGAGCCTGGCCAAGGAAGCGGCCTCATGAACTAGGAAAAGTTCACTTTTCCTATTTAGCTCAAAATTTTTATTAGAGATACATTTTTTGGCTTAACGGCCAGTACTACAAACGTCTGCATTTATGCCCTTTTTTGTTCAACAACTCGAGTTGAACACCTATTCCGGCTAAGGACTAAAATTTACGGTAACTGGGGCATCCCATTCTACATGTCTACTAAGTTTCAGATTTATACACACTTATCCCCCCCCCCCCGGTCTTCTTGATCTAACTGGTCGATGTTGTTGACCCACAACAATTCGTCTGCTCTGGCTGGACGCAATCGAGAGCGCTTACATATTTCACGGTTACTAGAATGTTGTGTGTTGCCGGGGCCTTGTTATTCACTCTCTTTGTCTTTTGAGAATGTTCCGCGTGACCATGGTCGAAGGTCAGACGAAAGGGTCTCTTCTGAGAAAACGGGGGGAGGGAGAGAATAGGCTTACGCGTTTCGAATGACCGACAGCACGGTAAGAGTATACGAATGTAGCACTCGCACACTTGTAAACCAGAGATCTGAAAAATCGCCTTCTGAGAGCGACCGCGCCACGCGCCAGGCTACTCTAGAATCCCATATGACTCTAGGCTACTCCACCCCCGAGGGGACCCACGGTGTAACTCAATTTCGTCTATTTGTCCCCTCTTCTAAAAATTCCGGGAAAAAACCGCGTAATTTTTCATATCTGTCGCCTTTATTTGTCACTTGCTCGTCGAGGTAGTGTACAGTATACACCCCTTTATTTTTTTGCGCAAATGGTCAAGAGTTATACAAATTGTTCGCGTTAGAGCGTTAAATTATGGTGTACGCAAGTGATTTCCCCTCGCATCGGCGACCGTCGCTGGTCTCGAGGGAATGACCAAGGTGGTCTGGGGAGCGGGGGGG